AGCCTATAAGTCCGCTACGGCGCGGCGTGACCATCTCACGCGAGGCTTCTCCATCTGTAGTAGTACGGAACCTGATACTCCGGGCTCGAAGATCAAATTCCTAATCGCAGTGAAGATTTTCAGGAGAAATTTAGGAGTTGGCACTGTAGCACCGGGTTATCTCCTCCCATCCGTTACACATCTCGGTAGCAGGGGTGAATCTCGGGTCCACCGTAGGTTTAGCCTAACAGGGTTTCCTGAATCGCTTCCGCCAGTTAGTGATCCAACACAGTCGGCATGTGCAGACTTTACCGTGTGAGGAAAACACCGACCCTTCTTGGGGGCCCCCGCCTCCGATTAAAGAGATTTGATGTCTGCCGGAGATAGTGGATTAGGGTTTGTGGTCATATTATATTAGTACCTCGTACATCTGTATATTTGATCCTTTGTTTCACTCTCACCAAAATATTGCTTTTTTTTTTTAAAAAAAAAAAACCTCTTGACTACTCACGTAATTATCTACCTCTCTAAGGCTTCTTTTTCGCAAAATTCATTGTTGCAATCTACTAATTAGACATCGGATTTTGGTGGTTCGAACGTCCCGGTTTGGTCCCCTTTGCACTATACTTGTTCCATTCAAAGGTGTCTTTCAATATCCCAAATAATTTTGAACTAGCAGAACAGCAACTCACAGGTGTCTCGACCATTGTCAGTGCCATGAACCAAGCGTACTCTCCACGGTCACCAGAGATCACTCTGTTTTCTTGTTAATTGCTTTAGTAATTTCAAGGTGCCCAAGCTCCTAAGACGAGGCAATAATAGCAGAAACGATATGGTACTAGAAGCAATAGCGGGGGGAGTGTCCACGTCCCCTTCCCGTAGAGTTTATTGGATGCACACACTTTAATTCTCTCGGAGAACTAAACTTCAAGATGCTTCTGTTGACCCCCCCCCCACCTACCAGCCAAAAGTTGAAGTATCGTAGAGGGCGATACACAACTGCGACAACTAGCACCACGGAAAGAAGATGACTGCTCGGTTGAGACTTATTCGGTTAGATAACAATAGTAAAGAAATAAACTAGTTTTTTACGGACATGGTAGTGTCGCGGGTGTAGGTGGCCAGGCATAGATTATAACTGCCGGCAGTTATTGGAGGCATACAGTATGTTGACGATAGAAGCTTGGAGGAAAGATATGTGATTTCTCATGAGATGGGAGACTGCCGCAGGCATTGATGGATGTTCGGAGGGATTCACAGAGGTGAATTCAATGAAAGGGGCGATCCTGAGAGAGTGGGTGATAGATGGAAAACAGGAAGCAAAGGATAGAGGTTTCTAGTTGATGGGGGTGGTTAGCTGGTGGTTTCCTAAAAACAAAAATGGGGATTGCAGAGAATAGTTTCATGATTTCTTTTTGTGGAAGGTTGCGGAAAGGAAGAGATTCATGTGGCGATGAGGAAAATTCGCTTAGTGTTTTCTATTTAGATTTGTCTTTTCCACCCATGTGTTGTTAGTGATGAGCGATATTGTTTTTTTTGCTTAGATCAATATTATCGAAGTTTAGCGTTTTAGCTCGCTGTGCACGATAGTATTACCAAGACAGTAGACGTTGGTCAGGTTTCAAAAAGAGCACTTTTTCATGGTGCTTATCGGGAATAACTCCCATCTCCGCGCTCTACTGGGTGACTCCTTTATAGTTCTGAAGAGTTTCTCTAAGGGGTGGGGTAGGAGCTTACCTTTCGCTCTGTTTTTCGCCCCTTCCTAGAGTAGAGGATTTTCAACAGCATAATATAGCACACGGTGCAATTCTTTGAGTTTACAAAGTATATCTTTTGCAGCTGTACTCTAACCCGACTTCTATCATCCTCATCTACAGGTTCCTTGATCTTTCTCTGCCAAAAAGACTCCTGACAGTTGTCATGGTGAGGCATTTTTAAACGGACTACTATTCCATTATACTCAAAAATTTGGTCTTTTTTCTTGTGTCTGGGTGTTATGCAATAGCAGTCCTTAAAATGCCCACGTTGCGAATTTCTGTGCAGTCAAATTACTGGTATGAGGTGATGAGATATCTTACCCCTCTTTTCCCTTTTCGCGCGAGTGAGTCCAAGGGATTGGCTATCTAACCGCCACCTACTGTGGGCGAAGGACGGATAGTGTATATTCGTGAATTAAATATTAACACCTACTTCGGCGCGGGTTTCCATATGATAACAAGATTTTGACATTGAAATAGACTGGGGAAAGTTCCGTAGCCCTTCCAAGATGAAAAGGATGTGCGCAGCATGCGCAGTAACATTCTCGTTCATACCAGGGTTAACTTAGTCCGTGAATATTCTCAATGGTTGGTAGTTTCTGCTATGCAGCTACGCCTATTGATTGTGCAGCATTCGTGTAAATGAGAGGTCACATCGATTCTCCTGGGCTTGTGATATGTTACCTCTCTACTCCGGGGTCATCAAGGCTGATGATTACCAGTATTGGCAACGAGGTGCGACTGTAGATAAATACGTTATCAAGAGTGACGGGGGACTCAATAAATTATAAACACTAGAATTTCAAATTCATCATTACACCATGCCAGCTACGCTTACCGAAGAAAAATGCAGCACAAAAACCCCGGGAGATTGCCACCAGAAACTCTACTGGTGCAGTGAGTGCGAGTCTGTGTTCTGCGAGAACTGTTGGGACTTACAAGCAGTCCACGAGTCAGGGCCCGGTTTCAGAGGGAGGTTGAAGAAGAGGAAGCATGCAAAGACCGAACTTGAAGTCGCTGATTACATTCTCTCAGTTCTTGAACCCAACTTAACCGAAGAGGAAGCCAACGACGCTCATGTTTCCAATGTGCATACAAAGTGGTTTGGGGTTCAAATCGATGAAAACCTTCCGGCGAGAGTCTCCCTGAAGAGCAAATCCTTTCTCGACCTGGCCTCAGGATCTGGGGAAGATCCTTCTTCCCAACACCCATGTCTGGTGTCCTTTGTGGGGGAAACTGGAGCAGGCAAAAGCACTTTGGTTAATGCGATGATAAAGGTAATATTAACCGATTCATCAGGAGTCTTTTGTTCGTCGACTAATGGCGAATAAAGTCAGTTGGTGCAACACAGATCGAGGTGACCACACCTGTTATTGGGACCAAAATCGATAGTCCCACTAGTGGCGATGTTCATCTTTTCCTAGATCCAAAATCTCTGCATACCACGAGGCCTTTATTTTTTGCGGACTGCGAAGGCTCTGGCGGTGGGACCGGAGCTCCACTTGCTGCGAGAATAAAGGAGAGTAATAAAAGGTTCAAACTCCGCTGCCACACCTATCGAGCAAGGACACGCAAAAGGGAAATTATCACCTCCGAAAGGTGCACCCGCATGTGGGCAGTGAATGAACTGTACCCCCGGATTTTATTCACGTTTTCAGATGTTGTCTGTCTTGTTAGCAAGAATTTCCGGTAGGAGTAATCCTGGAAAGTTTGAAGAGGCATTATGACTAACGATCGCTACTCCCAAGTATAGTAAGATTGAAAACCACATTGTCGACCTCTTGGATTGGGCAGACAATGTTTTTGAAAGATCTCTCAATCAACCAATGCTGCCAAAGGCAATCATTGTTGTTAATGGAGTGGAAAGCAAGGCATGTTCCTGCGTGCCTATCATAGACTTATTAGGCTTGCTGAGTTATTGATTCTGACATTGGTTTTAGAAAATTGACAGCGATGAGTGGTGGGATGTGGATAAGGTAACAAAGGAGCAACTCAAAAATCACCAGGCCCTTATCAATATTTATCCGGAACACAGTGGACAGCATTCTACTGATGCAATTAGTTTACGTACCACTATCTCGCACCGTAATGTAGCAAAAATGGCCCGCCAGTGGAAGGCTGAGCGTCGGAAAACAATATCCTCACTTGAGGATCTTATTTTGTGTTATTATAGCGATTTCAAGATTATATGCATACCCTCAGCCAATGACCCCCCTTACATTATTAACCAGCAGTATATTAAGCTCGGTGAACTTATTGCAAAAGGGGCACGAGATTCTGAAAATGCTAGGAATCTGGCAGGACTTCTGATGACGAGCGAGGAATTGGATCACTATCTCGAGCAAGGCTTTGAGCATTTCAGTACTTCAGGATTACCCTTCAACTTCTTGCAAGCCGCCTTACAAGACAAGCCTGTCTCAGTAGGTTTCTCAGGTCACCTTCTGAGAATAGCTTTTACCCTCTTGAGCCAACAACCAAATAACAGCGGGAGCCAGCTGCTGAATAATTTAGCTCCAATTTTTGCATCAAGTATATTCTTAGATGTGATAAGAAACAGAAGACCTCATCAGGGTAAGCCATATCCGGCGAGATTGTGTTAAAAGAGAGGGACATATCCAATAACTTGTAAAATAGGAGATTCAGGTCGCATATTTGAAGGATATCGTGGGAGGTGTGAAATTGCTCTGAGAGAATTGTACCAGAAGTATTGGCAATGCGAGGAGAGGGATCGGCATGGGAAAAGGTGTGTCAATCATCAAAATGGACACACAAAAGGGCACCAGGACTATAACGGAAAGGTTTTCAGAGCCGGAAAATTCAAAGCAATCGATGAATTAGACTCTGAAGATCAGATTGCAGGTTTTAACAAAGATATCATAACCCATCTAGATCAGATATTCAAGGAATGGGGAGAGAGACTAGGCGGGATTCCCCTACATGAAGCACGTGAACAGGGTAACCGTGCTGCACTCTATCTCCATCTGAAACGGACATCAATGCTGCATGGCAACAACGGGGCGGATAAACCACCGGGGTTGGTGAGCCACACTACTTGTTTCTGCTGCTTTCTATCAACCCCCTTACATCTGCTATTCTGCGGACATGCCATCTGTCAAGAATGCCTCGAACGTATTGCGGAGAAGAAGCAGGATCGCTTTGAGTTGAAAAAATGTCCTCTTCATAATCACCTAGAATGGAAACTCCCCTGGAGAACAAATCTTGACCTCCCAACCGCCGGGCTCAGAATACTCTCCTTAGATGGGTATGTCTGATATCGGTTTACTTTCCACATGCCAGTTGCTTACCTTCTCCTTATCTAGAGGTGGTGTAAGGTCGATAGTTCAACTTACTATTCTTCAAGAGCTAGAAATATCTATCGGCCTTGAGGTAAATATTGTAGACTTCTTTGATTTAATCATTGGAACTAGGTACGCTATCCACCTTCTAATGCTTATAATCATTATCATTAAAGATATTTTCTAGCGGTGGTGGGATCGTAGCAGCTGGGCTTGGTATTAGGAAATTTGGGGTCCAAAAGTGCATCGACAAATTTCAACAAGTTTCTAAGCAAGCATTTACCAAACGGACAGGTGCGGGCGGTGTGTTTGGGCCATTAATCGAGGCACAGCATCACAGTAGGTACAAAACTACAAATTTGTCAGAAGCGCTGCAGAAGGCTTTCGGAGAAGACACAATACTTTTCGGGGGTCAACGCGACCCAACACATGAGCCAATAACACGGGTTGGTGTTTCAGCGGCCACTCCCAGCCGCCATACTTTCCTTCTTTCAAACTATCAGCGACCTCAAGTTGCTAGTGGTATGTTAGCCAAACCTCCACAGAGAATATATGGAAGTACTAAATATCCATATTGCTAGTTGGCCGTCCTACATATACCTTTTATCGAGGTGAAACAGCGGAGGAGGAACTAAAGGTTTGGGAAGCGTGAGTATCTACTACTATTCCAACTGTTATAAACGGAGGGGTTAATATTCTGTGAAGTCTTCGCGCAACCTCAGCTGCCCCGAGGTATTTCAAATCATTCTACCACAAAGCTTCAGGTTATACATTCTATGATGGTGCTATCACATGTAACAATCCTATCTTTCTCGCACATACTGAGCGTAAAATACTTTGGCCCGAGCAACATGAAAGAGATCCAGACATTCTACTCTCAATCGGCACTCTTTGGAGTAACCAAGATGGATCTAGTTCAGAAATTGACAAAGCTAACCCAAAAGGAAAATTTGGTGTGCGCCAGTATGTGAAGAACCTGTTTGGTATCATGATGGCCGCTGTTCATGACGATTTGGATTGCGAGAAAACATGGTCTAGTTTCTACGACAGCCTGAATATATCGGAAGGGGATGGACATCGAAAGAAAAAGTATTGGCGAATTAATCCTAAAATTCCCAACACACCACCCGCCCTGGATTCGGTATCCAGTATGGACGACCTACAGGACATCGCCCGGAAATATTGCTCAACATCTCCGGAGATCAAAAATGTCGCCTCAACACTCATAGCCTCCCTCTTCTACTTTCAGATGAAAAGTGCCTCGAAAATCACTCTATCAGGATTCCAGACGTGTGAAGGTAAGGGATAGCTGGCACTTCTCGTCCAATACTTATTAGATGTTACAATAGGTGAGATTCTGTGTCGGCTCCCAGCAAATAGTGGCTCCCTTAAGAAGTTATGCAAGCGACTCGAGCGGCACGGAACCGATGATAACCAACAATCCTGGTTCTATATTACAAGTTCCTATTATGAGCACCGGCAATTTTGCAAGGTCCTAGGGTCTACTCTGAAAGTCTTAGAGGAAGTTTCGGCGGGAAGACCCTTCTGTCTACCGGTAACATTTAAACAAAGGGATTGGGATACGTCATGTCGGATATATGTCTCCTTTGACGACCCTGACGGTGAAGGCTTTCTCATCAGTGGTTTTCCAAGGAATCCACTTACAGACAAAACTTGGTGTATGATAATCCCAACCGCACTTGTTTTCGAATCGGTCTGCTGACTTCAGCCAAGCTCTCCATAGGAACTTTCGAACAGGCAATCAAGAAGAAAGCGGCTCTGGGGTAAGGCGTATGGGTTCATCCCGCAGTTTGGGTTCTCGTACCAGATCTCTGAAGGATACGAGTCGCCCGGGTTCCGATACTCAGAAAGGCCTGGATGACACCACCGATGACGACTTACTTGAACTACAACATTTTGCGATTGAATTAGGGGGTCGGGGTGGAGGTTTCTTGTCGCAAGACAGCTTGGAATTACACAAGTGAAGTTGCGGATTGCAACTAATTATCGGGGTCTAAACTTTTATTGATGGGGATGGAATTTTGCAAAAGAGTCGAAAAGGAGATGTCCTTAATAGCATATCTAGGCATTCTTCCTATACAAGTCCTTCAATTGACGAATCCTAAAGTTTGTCTAACTGTTGTCACCTATGCCTTTGGTGCCTTCTTGATACTTGAGCACAATCCATTTATCGAGGGTAGTGGAATTGGTCACAAATGGGTGATTAGTGAGAGGATATGATCGCAAAAAATACCCCTTACATTCCCCAATGACCCTCTATGACTCCAAAGGTTCCCTCACTATTACCGCCGTTTCCCTCCCCATCCGAGGCAACTCGGTTTGCTGTTACTATGACGTACTAGTGTACCGTCACAAAAGTCTGTGGAACAAGGTTTCTCTTTGCCTCTCGAACCCGCCCTATCTCGACACAGGCCATCAATTGAATAATACCGCCGCCCCCCCCCCCTTTTTTATAATAGCAACGTAATCTCGGGCAAGGTGAAATTTCCTTTGGCTAAGACCTTTGACCAGAGACTACAATAAAAGGGATCGCGGTGGACAAGCTCCAACAAGGTTCTGAGCTACCATATTTATGCGCATGAGGATCCATTGTGGAAACTGTCTTGGATACACGTCTGGCTCTCATTGGCTCTGTTCAGCCCCTTGTATAACCTCAATTCCCGCTTATGCACATGAGACCAGTGCTTTATCTATCTTTGTCGACTTCTCATGATATTGTAGGTTTACAAGGCCCTTGTGCTTGATGCATGCTCCGAGTTTAACTACTCCCCTTTCCTTGTAGCAAGCCACCAGAATCCGGAGGGCTCAAAGGGTGAGTCTGGAATGCAAACATCTTCTCCAGCCCTGACGGCTGTTTGCTCCGGAACATTAGCTATCAATCCTGCAGAGATAGCGTGGTTGTAAGTTACGCTGCTTGGATAGGTGGATACAGATATTCTTGGTGGCTTCACGAAGTGTTGCATGTTTCCTTGTTGGATTCCGACGAACCCGTGATGTGGGGGGAGAGTGTGGTACAGAATCACCAGAGATGTAGAACCCACGGGAGTCACCCAACCATCCAGAAAGGGGAGGTTTTCCCCCTCAATTGAGTTTCTTACATCGCGATCCATTGTAGCTTGAAGCCCACTTGTGGGTGTCCTCCACCTCAACACAGTACTAGTAGTCAACATCTAACCACCGGATCAAACGACGGATACGATCGGTATCCTGCACTTTCTAGTCAAATACTTCAAAGTAACCCCCCCCCCTCCTCTCATCGTCCCCCCTTCCTACCCGGGCCTCGGGCTTGGTCCATCGGTACACTAGATTTTGGCTAATAATATGCCTTTCTGCCGACCAACAAGGAGCAGGAGAAGTCTTGCCCACCAGTCCCTCCGCTTCGTTCCGGTCATGCGTTTATGTTTGGTGACATTTTTAGGCCCTCTGGCTGAGTACTGGTATCATATGTTTCTCCTGCCGTAGAAACCCTTAATGATCCACTATCAGACTACCAACAGCTCGTCAGCCCACCATAGGTTCAGTTTGTTTGGTTAAGAGAACTCTGGATACCGGTTAATGAGATCCTTCCTAACCAGTGGCAAATTGGTCGAAGCCCAATCATATAGTTTCCCTCCCCTTTGAAACCACTTTTGTTAGGCAGGTTTTATAGGTTGGGGTTACTAAAATAGTTGAAGGTATGATAGCCAAAGAAAATTATTTGAAACTCATTAACACCAATTATCACACATATTACTTCTGTATTTTGTCATTTTTTGAGTCAGGTTTGAGTAATTCTGTGATTGAGGAAGGACGTCCAGAAGACAAGCGAAATCCACTGATACCGACTACCTCTCACATTACCTTTGAATCAGGTCAGCTCCTGTTTTGGGAAGAATGTTATCCTGCAATTTCACAGGTATTCCTTTTTGCTTTTATACTTATTATATATATTTTTCGTACTTTAAAACCATATTTCGAGGAAAAAAAAGTATGACTTTCCCGATATTTCTTTCCCTCATTCATGATGCCCAGCGGTGTTCCTTGATATGTACCGGTACCGGAACGGTGCTGGGAAAACACTAATCCTTCCCAGGGGCTTTCGTCTCAGGATCTGGAAATTACAAGGCTGGCAGAGATGGCGGAATATGGGCTCTCTACAGCATGGGATGGGTCTTTGGGTTCATAATCGCAATCGTGTGAGGTGCCGATTTAAGTGCAATCGTTATCACGCAACCGTGAACGACATCGCATATTATTACCGCCCCATCAAGTGTTTGCGCGCCCTGTAAACTCAGCGGCGATGTCAAGGGGAGAAGGGGTGCTCCCCCATCGGGCATGTTGGACAAGACATTATCAATTTCCATTTCTTCTACGCTCATTCCCTCATTTCTTTCAATTATATTCCTATCTTCATTTCTCCCGCCCTAGCTCCATAAGTGTAACCCTAGGGAGCCCAGCCGTGAATTCAATTCACCGGCACTTGCTGAACTCATCTGCGAGTCACCTTTGTGAGACGGGCTTCACACGACAGTTCATTTTTCCAGCCCGCAGTCCACGAATTGTGAGTGAATCGCTTGTTTTAGCAGTGTTGAACCGGTGGCTCAGGGTTCCCATCTCCTTTAATATTGATAATGCGTAAGCTGCGTCTTTTCTTCTCATATCTAATGCTTCCCGTTACCAAGGATCCTAGTTGGTGAATCCCGGGTGTGTGTGTGTGTAAAACTCGGTATCCTCAATTCTGTCTAAAGGCGGGTAAAAGCGGACATTTGGGGGAATGGGAAATGGCTAATGTGTCCTACTCACGGGTTACTCGAGCGAGACGCATCGTCAGACCAGCTGCTACAGGGGGTCCCATGAAATTGGAGACGGAGAAAATCATCCTTGGTCAGCCGGCGAGGTCCAAGGTAGGGGGTTTGTAGTCTTCACTTCGAGCAATTTCCGGTGAGGGTAGTCGATTTGGGAGCTGTGTCACTATTTCTCGTGTTGGGGGAGAGAGTCTGTCCTACCGGGTTTTCCTATAATGTACAATTAATTGTTGACTTTGACCTACCGGTACGGTAGCCAGTCAACCTTTCGTACGTATTTTTAGAAATTTGAAGCCCAAGTCAACCATCCCACTGCAGGGGTCATTTGGGTAGATAGGAAATGGCCTGTACGCAGACGCTAGTGTGGGTAAACGCATGAGACACAGTTTTCTCGTTGGCCATTTTACTCATTCGAATGTGGGTCGGGTGGGATGTTGTGGCAGTGTCGATTGGATACCAACTACTGGTACCGTACCGTCCTCAAGCTATGCTCTCTGTGGTACTGTACTTGCACATCAGAGGAGTGCTTCCCTTACCCAGATCCCCTTGCCTAGAAGTGAAAAGCCCAGTTGCGGTTAATTGAACAAACGGGTAGTCATCAATGTGTACAAGGACCGTACTACACAGTGCTAAATACCGACCAGCCGGGGGGGGGGGGGTTACACAGTACAATTAACCAGGTTGTGCTAGATACCCGGCGTCTTTATCTACTATCAATTTCCATCCAATTTTTCCTCGCTCTGAAGGAGGCGCGGGCGCAGTTCCCGGATAACTTTCAGGCCAATAGAGCCCAACAAATTCTTGACGAAGAATCTATAGAGTAATGAGGGAAGGCTATGCCCCGAGGGAATAGAACCAGTACTGTAGTTTTGGGAGGATTTTTCCCCGCCCCCTCAGGAGTGGTGCCTGGTGCTTCCTCCAACCACCTGATCACTGTACCTCGCATATCGTGGCGTTGGTTTCTATGTGCAAATAGCCCTCGCTTCGTGCACAAGTACCGGTATGGGCAGATAAAAGTGAGAAAATCGGGGTCATGGCAATCAGACGCTTAGCCGGTTTTTAAATGTTGGAACTCACGTTTCTAACAGGGTTTGGCTGTCGCTGCACGAGTAGCAAAGAACGGGCAGACACTTTTGCAACAAGAAGCGGCTGGGGTGAGACTTGGAATTGCGTCAAGATCGAAAAACTTTTGAAAGGGTTAGTTAGGCCGTAAAGAGTAATGATGTGGCGTGCCATTGCGATTTCGAGACAAAAGCTGGGATAAAAGTCTTACTCGAGTATTTCCTAACGCACTTCCCGCCAATTATTGGACAAGGACCGGTTAATGGATTGCTCGCTGTTGCACCGTGAGGGGGGAGATGCTGAAGGCCGGGGGTTACCCGGGGAAGGATCTGAGGTGGATGGGCCGCTAGCAAGCATCGCTTGCAGTGTTGGTAGGTATTAATAGCAATAGGACGATGCTCGATTTGTCCTCAGCGGTGGAACACACAACGCATTGCAGATGACGTGTGGGACAACGCTGGGGCTGACATTGCTTATTTCCTCTCGGGGATCCACTGCTCTCGAGTCCCGAGTCCAACCGGGTAACCTCTCTGCACACAGACAACGCTCCCAGGTTCTTAATTCCTCCGCCCCTTCTGAGGGGAACGCACCATGCTGTATGAATCAGGTCCCTCAACGGGGAAGATGGAAGAGGATTGGGGGCAAGGGAAAAAGAGACCACTTTTCGCCAAGGATCTTCGATATGTCTTGTCAGTTGTCGCCTCTCTCGCCTCTCGCTTCTACACATGAAAACCAACGACAAAAATCTGTTAACCGAAAACAGTTAATCCGCTTCTTTCACCCACACTCAGCCTGCGATATCTATTGTATCTCGCAAGGATTGATCATCCACATTTCGCTATCCATATCCCCCTCCAACAAACAAGAAGCCCTTACCGCATCGTAGCCTATGCGAGTAGCCAAAACTCACCGCACACCAGTGCCAAAGACCTATTTAGGAATACCTCTGTATTGCTTCCCATGAGCACTTGCCGTGGTAGGCTGTGTATCAACGATCCACACCCCATTTATCCAGCTAGTAGAAGCCCAAGGGCGGCTGAGAATGCGGTGTTCGAGTGATATCTTGTGATATCGGTAATCGGGAGTTAACCGTTCGCCCGACTGGGCGGGGCTGAAATACGATACATCACCGGTACAGTACATGCACAAATTGGAAGCCCCTCTTCTTTCAGCACAGCACACCATACCTCGATGACAAACGGCCCTTACCGCCGGTACAAGTATGATACCTACCCGGCCCCACCGTGACCTCGGCGGCCAGGCCCCAACTTAATTCCCCAACCCAGCCAGCGACCCACCCACTCACTCCTTTTCGGACAGGTAAAGTGCAATGTGTCAGTAGATCACACCATCATCCCGAACGCTCGAAACCCCATTCGCTTGTTGGTTCCCAATCCGGCCCTGGTGGCTCGTTTGGGGGGTTAAGGGTTCGCGTTATCCCCGCTTTGGGAGTGCTCGAGTACCGTACAGTAGGTGGCTGTTGCTGGATCTGAAGGTAGAAGTTGTAGGCATTCACTGCTCTCAGGTCTGCAAAAACTAGAAACTACTCGTAAAGGTAGCAAAACAGGGATCAGAGGGATCGGGATATGGGGTTGCCGGGAAAGCTCATCGATGCAACTAGACATCTTACATACATCGCGCCAAGTGAGATACATCGTGATGATACTGAGTGGGAGAAGGGGGATACAGTTCGTTCTAACATCTCAAGCTTCAGTCATTTGTTTCACTGGATTCTGCCTCCTATGGCTCTTCCCTCTCTCTTAACTTAAATTTACTACGGTTCCTTGGGATGCCAATACCTGTTTGGGATTTCCAGATTTTGTTGTTTTCCGCTCACTAACTAACCTTGCGTGACAGGGGTGTTTTGTCTTTCCGATTTTTATGGACACACACGAGTCCTAGTACTTGTGCTAGTACATGGGAACAGTCTAGGAGGTGGGGAGACGTGTGACTGGGTCTACCGGTATTAGGATGGCCTACGGCGGTTCCTTGCATGCCTGAATGGCACCTGGTGTACTCGTACAAGTGGTTGGAGGGGTATCATTAGGATCATCAGGTTGTGGGTGGGTTGGGCAGGGATTTATCCATGATTTTTCGTGGCTGGACGGGATTGATCTGGTGCTGATCTGGGGTGGGGGGTCTCTTCTCTCGTTACAAGTATCATACCATACCTAATTTACTCACTCAAGACGTTCTATGATACTCTAGCCATTCAGGTGGCGTGGCTAGCGCCTGCAAGAGCGCTGCTTAGTCATGTAATTCATGGTCCCAGCACTTACTCGAGTGCAACTAATTACAAAAATTGCACCCAGATTTTCACTACTAGTGCTCCAAACGTCACTAGAAATTGCACTCCTATCGTACCGCTTTAAAAAAGATAAATGCATTAATAATTAACACACAGGCCCCTCCCCGCCGTATCCTACGACAGAAAGATGGGGCTAAAAATTATTCCCTCCAACAAGAAACCACGCAGCTTCATAACAGAAAAATACATCTCAATCGTAATCAAAGGGTCCTATACCAGTTCGCCTCAGGGTCGTTAAGGCATTCTCCCAATCGGACGTCTGTTTCAATTAGTGTTGAGCATTCAGGGAGGGACGGTGAAGTGTGACATACGCTGATACCCGGCGTTTTTACCGACCCCAATCTGGTAATCTGTCAACGCAAGCACAGTCTGTTCGTGGATGTCATGTCTACCTCTCCAGTTAGTTACCTATGCAAACAATCTTGGATAATTCAGAGAGGAGGGGGGTAATACGCAATAGACATAAAGTCACGATTCGCCGGGCTGGTGCCCACGATCGCATCGCGGACAATACGTTTGGAGTTCTCGATCAATTGAGGAGAATCGTTATTGTAGTCATCGGTATTCAAGTCCCAGATTATGACGTGGTAGGCTAGGTCATTCATTGTATTTTTGCAGGCAGTCCCGCAGCGGATGTAGGGCGGGCGCATGTAAGTTCTGGTATACTGTTAGCTAGGGGCGGCCACCAATAAGGAGTCATGGGAGGCTCACGGGGCTCTGCCGACTATGATGTGCATGTTAGCCATGTGGATAGATTATTTGAATGGAGGAACTTACTAATTGTCATCAATGCCTGCTCTAGTCTTGTCATTTGGAATCTCCTGCTGGACTCGTTGATGCTATCCAAGTCCAGATGGTCCCAGCTTCACCGAATATATTAGCATGGGGTAGATATACCTAGGGAAGACCACATACGTATGGGAGGCAATTTGATGACCTTCGTTAAAGGCTCTTCGAATGGCATCCGCCCACCGAGAACCCCCCGGAGAGTCAATCGCCCCCTTATCAAGGTTGTTTCCCCTAGAAGCACCTTAGTTGAGTTCAGTGCTCACTTATAGAAGGGGTAAAACGTACGTTACAAAGAACGTAGCCTTTACCCCATGGCCCTTCAATTTGTCCAGCAATTGCTCAGTATAAACCCACGGCCCGTCGTCATAGGTTAGTGCAATTGTACCAGGTCTGCTGCAGCTGTAGATGTCCATGCCGTAGGGTACGGATCCAACCTTTAGACGGGCACCTGGTGATGATGTAGGTGTAGATGAAGTTGTGGATGTAGGCGTGGGTGTTCCAGTCGGGGGTGTTGTAGGGGCAGAACTTGATGAGGCGCCATTGCATTTTCCGTAGAGGGGTTGACATCCAGCACCACAGTGGCCAAGGGTGTCTCCGCACCAATTGTACTGTGAGCAGCACTGATATTGACCCGCTGACGAAGAGCAGGAGTAGCCGTTGAATTGAGGACCACAGCGACCGTTCGGGGAGTTTCTGGCAAGCAGTGGCTCTTTTGGTAGCCCGGAAGCAAGTGCGAAAAAGAGTGAAAGAGAAGCTGAAAGCAATACCTTGTTGGCTAACATATTGGCAAAGACTTGATGTTATTACTTAGGGAATGAAGAGAAAGAGCAGAGGGGGGGGGGAGGGCTGTATTTATTACCTGTACCCAGCAAGAGAAGGAGGGGAGATTTGGGTATACCACCACCACACTGATTGCATTGATTCATCACAACTCGCGCGCGGCCGAGTTGGAGTTGGACATAGGCTAGCAGTTCCCATACAAAGTCACCAACTTCAACTAGGCCGCGCTGGTAGAAGGCCAAGACTCGGCCGTTTCCCACAACCGTGTCGTCTGATACGCGGTACAAGTAACTTAATACAGGGTTTAATATCTGCAGAGGGTAACATCTTGTACTCAAATATAATTAACTCTATATTCGATACCGGTAGTTTATATCACTCTGTGCGACATCGGAACTTGATCCTGTCAATCGCAAGGGATTGGATGGATTCCTTGCTCTGAGACATATTCAAGCCACTCGAGCTTTCTACAGATCAGGTCAAAATACCGAATCATCTGGGGTATGGCTGCACAAACCTATGCACGGGACTCTGCAGCAGGGCAAGGAAAGAGCCCTATTCAAATTGAAGAATTAGACCAACAATACCGTTAGTACAACTTGTATGTTTGAGATGGCGTACGTAAAAGTACTCTATACTCGATTGTATGCTCTCATTTGTAACCGAGGCGGAAGGTTTTCCTTCAACAAAAGGCCCTACGGCAGTGGAATAGGTAGCCTTTTCAGGAGCATCATTATAATATTTCAGTGACTACACATGAGGCCGAGCTGAAAGCGGATATCCAAGATGGTAATTGCCATACGATGTGGCCGGTTTTAACTTGGCCCATGGGTAGATTATATCGCATTAGCACATATACCGTGGAGGGGCCAATTAATCTTCCAAACGAAATCCCCTCCCCGGGATGCAGTCATTGCAACTAAGCCCATAATTGCTAGAAAAAAGGAAGAAAAATCGATCACGATTTGGTACATGAGTAACGTGGTTGTGCGTTGGTATCCCCCATACTCAGTCGAAGTCGGAAGAGGGGTAGACTTTAGCCACCCCTTGGCCAGTGCGGTTGGAGCCGATATAATTGTCCATTCAAAAGCAACAAGAGGGTTGAAGTGGAGCTTTCAGAATCCGAACCAGTGCTGTCCGGCGACAAAACACGGTATCGATATCGGTACGGACGGAATCTTTCAATGTTTCTTTTTCTCTCCCTCTTTTTTTAACCGGGGTACCGACGGATAGCGCCTCCGCTGCGAGTAAAGGCATCGCTCAGCGCCTTCTTGTCTCTCCTCCTCCGTCTTCATCCGAGCCGACAGGAAATTCACAAAATCGCTATTCCTTTTGCCCGGCACGATGGCCAGAGTTCCCCTTGCGTCTTCTTGGGTGTTCCCTGTTGGATGCGAGTGATACTACGTGTTCATTAAGTCAAGGTGTGCCGGTGTGGGGGCGGGGGTCGCCGCTAACAAAAGCAATCAAAGTACCCCGTGCCGGTATGGCTTTCCGCCAAAAAAGTTGCTTCTGCTGAACCTCACTTGAGCTAATCAGTAGTATCAGTAGAGATGTCGTGAAGCATGTAAAGGGAAAACCCGAATTCCGGTATAAATAAATTTATCAGCGTAAGCGATTTCTAGTAAACAACAAGCCATTCTGCCCCCGCCTCAATATCTGTACTTTAGGCGAATCCCTCTCTATCGTTGTCTTGGGTGTGGAACACTAGAGCCCGGATTTCGATACTTTCTCTCAGCCTCGGATTCTCCGGAGACGTAGGATCCTTGAACGCGGTATGCGGTGTTACTTTGGACGTGTTAGCAACTACTCGAGTATGCAGTTCCAACGCTATTTTAGGTCTCACCTCTGGCTCTATCAGTCTTGGTGTCAAAACACTTTATTAGGATAACTTCGTCATTCTGCTGTCTCGACTTGTAATACCTGTATTCTATGTTCTTAGCAGCTCTGATCCGGGTACTAGTTTTAATAGTTGTGGGCTTACCATCTGTGCTCTGGATTATACAACACGCTGTAGGTTTCCCCAGTGTGGCCGGGGTATAGTAGGTCTGAAGCGATAAGGTCCTCTGGGTTAACCGAGCGGTAGTCTGCTACTGCAAGCGGGTGGTCTTCAATCGGCCCAACCAGCGGCCTCCAAACACTGTGAATACAGTCAATATTATGACCTGAAGTGGAATACCCTAATGCACTGTGAAAGATTTACTTGATAATCTGCACGCGACCTTCCAGCAGCTTCTCTGCCTCATCGGGAAGGTGACGCTTCACTCTCCCGGCTCCAGCACTTGGAGCTCTGAAAATGTCAGCCCTGAATTGTGGAACAGGTATCAGGTGCACAAACTGGTCAACATGGACTCGCAATGCTGGTTGCCTCGCTCCCACCGGTCCACGACCGTCACTTGGGTACTGCGGGATCCTCTTGCGTACAGTATGGTCGAAGATAAACACTCTGTCAGCACCCGTATGTTTTTTCAACAGCTCCTCAATTCTCGGATAATATTTCCTTTCAACTTCCTCATCCTCGTTATTCCTAATGTGCTGGATTATCTCATCGGGTACAGCGTTATGAATGAATTCGAAACCGCTCTTGTCCAACGAGAACAACCTTTCATGACCTCGGACATCGGTGACCTCGTGAGGGTATGCTTCGTGCTCTACATTACTCGACTCGAACACTCCCGGGACAGTCACGCTGACGAAAGTGGGCTTTGCGGTGAAGCCAGGCTTCAGATACCAAAGGTTTGTTTGAACTGTATTCGATTTCTCGAGTTTTACGACTTTATCGTACTCGCTTCTTTTAGCGGTAGTGGTAGTAGTCATTTCGTGTACGGTGCGCTTGGCTGTCAGGTTGTTTGGTATGAACGTTAGGGTACCCCTTCTTTGATTCCACAGGACAGCTTCAGAGGAACCAACCTTTATGAACCCATCCTGACATTTGCCTCCGAACCGAAGACGAAATGGATTTCAAATCTTCGGGGGAAGAACCACGGGGTGGCATAACGACTCGGTTTGGGTTAGGTTTTCTGGATATCGTAGCTGTTAGACGTTTATATTATCTTAGTCTGTCCCCCGAAACAAATAAATTGGTTAGAAAATCGTCTAGATTGGGCGGATGGGGAAATGTTGAACTTCTTCATGCCTTGTCTGCTAAGTATGTTTTTCGTATTTTCCTGGTGTTAGTTTCCCCTCTCGGAACAAGGCGAGCCTTATGAGGCTGCACAAGTATCCTGGTTTTGCTTCGCACCAGTGCTTGATATGATCTGATTTCCCCGGGAAGAGTCGCATGGGTACCCAGGGTTGTCGACCGTAATGAAATTCGGGGATATTTTCTTGTGCCACAGGATCAATGCCCGATATTTCACTCCAGAAATGCTGACCACAGTCCCGTTGTACCACTGTTCATTAGACGAAACAGGGGATAGGTGTGAAGGTGGAAGGCAACATTATTAATCGCGTGGTTTCCAAGGTTGCGGGGCCGCCCCGCCGCTTTTCCGAGGATTTGAGATACATGTAGACGGTCGGGTTTCCCGCAGAACGGGGGGGGGGGTGAGGCCTGATGCTTGTATCACTCTTATGTGCCCGAAATACAAGCACCACGGCGTTCGCGAACTGTGTTAGGGTCCGTAAGGTGGGGCAATTATGAACTTGAAGCCGAAGGATAGTATCAATATGGAAAATCGAGGTATTTCCAAGAGTCTCCTATCCGATAAAAGCTGCCGGTTAGTAAACCGACTTCGAGAGGGTTCTTCTTTTTCAGAGGTGTTTATCCAAGCACCAAAATGTGGGGATGCGGGCGCACAAATAAATGCGGGGGGTTAACGGAAACCCAGCGAAACCAAGAATCGGGGCCAGTGATACCTATATAGCCTTTCAGGACAGGAATGAGCTGTGTCATCACACTCTTCCCCACTCAAAGAACCAAAGCAAAGCAAAGCACTTAGGATCGGGATGCGGTAGCATAACACCAATATCCGATCAACCGAATGGAACTTACTCTTATTATCTGTTGACCATCTATATGTAACTACTAGGATTATGCCACCAGCAGCACAACATGTAACAATCTCCGCCCCCCTCCGTGCCCTCATCGAACCAAAATATCACGAAAGAAGCAATATCCGTAATGAAGGGCAACTTTATACAGGTATAATAATTATGCACATTCAGAAGTGCTGCACTTGAGAATATCCAAGACACCATTCATTCCCCTCCGACCGTCACAACTTCGGAAGCCGTAACCCTAACCCCGCACCAGCATGTTCAAGGTAACCTACCGTATTTGGCTCCATAGGTTGGGTGAGGTTTGTACCCCGAATGCTTGGCCCTCGGAGCGTCTGTCCCTGCTGCCGGGGCAGGATACTGGCTCCAGTGCCGTATGATATCATACTTGGTTTTATTTTTAACCTCACTCCTCATTCTGAAGCCTATAGAGATCACTTGTTTTGTAAATAATGGAGACTTGCTTGGCGATGAAAACAACCTCAAAAGCGGGCATTACAGGAGTGGGGAATAGGGGCTTTGGTCTCCCATGCGCTGGTATCAGAAAGGAACCTTCCAGTGAGACTAAAACCGGCAATATACACCGCGGTCACGGCGAAACCCCTGATAAAAGTGTATGTCAAACTGAGAGGCTTTAGGTGAAGGTTATGGGGGAATGGGAGACAGAGCTTAAGGCATTTGAACTAAACCACTGTTCCCATAAATGCCGACATCCTAACGGAGGGGGGAAAACATCGGTATTTATGATTGCATCATTATGGGAACAGTCATGCTCATCGGTGTTCCCGCTTTGATCTAAGTAAAACGAAGAGACGGCAATGATACCCTTTTCAAGGTCGGGAAATGTATCATGCTTGCTCCCAGAGCGCCCCTTGATCTTGTATCCCCATCATAGATTGATTGATTGTGGCACTCAGTAGGAATAACGTGAGGATAAATTAAAAGCTCTGAAAAACGTATAAAGGGGTGAATTGGGCTAAAAGAGGATCGCTTTTGTCGTTGTACTTGTAAAGTGGTGGAGGTGGAATTGATGGTATATTGTTTGAAACTAGTGAATGGTACTGTAAAGTAAAGTACAGTCGACAGCCAGAAGAGGCGCATAGTGTTTTTTTTTTTTTTTTTTTGTTAAATCCGCGGTTTATTTGTAAACTAATACAGGAAAATCTATGGTATAAACCGTGAGGTATGACCTAAAAACCCATAAAACAAAAGAAACACTCCCCCCCCAAAAACAATTTATCGATGAAACATCACTATCTCCTCCTAACATTTATTGCAACACAATTTAGCCTTTCATGACGCCAATCCAGCGTTTCTGGTAAAAGGAAAAACCCCCATCCTCGTTGGGAAATTAATCCTATTTCTTAACATATAAAAAACAAAATTCCTCAATAAGGAACCTGCCCTCTCGCCCCTTTTCCACAGCCCAGAGTCCAGTACCACGTTGAAAGCTTCCAGTTACAAACCCTTCCTGGCCTCGGCCAATGTCGGGCACTCCACAACATGTTCCAAGGTTTCCAAGGCCCTGCAGACCTGCTGCATGTGTGATCTCGGTCTTGGTTGGACCAATCGGTTACCGTCCCGAGCCCAAGAAAGGTTTTGGCCCCCTA